AGGACACTGACTAGAATCCTTTGGCTCGGCCTGAGAGACTATCTGAGTAGTAGCTCAAGCTCAGAAGACCTTTTCTTTTTGAATTGAGTAAAGCAGCAAGAACAAGGCAAATCATGTTACAACTGCATTTGTTTCTCAAGACGGCTTCAAAGGAGATTTAAAACTTGACCTGCCAGCTTCTGCTTGGAGAGCTTATTTATTAACACAGACCTGTTTGATACTGAAAGCTACCTTATTGCTCAGCTTGCGAGATATTTATAGTTTCATTTCGTCAAGGATTTAATTAATTATTCTTGTTGAATGGAGGTCTTTTTATTTACTTGCTTAATTGACTTATGTTTTTTGTTTTTGCCTGTTTTTTAATTTAGTTGAGGTTTTCATTGTTATTGTTATTTTTTGGTTTTGATTTTTATGATGAAGACCTTGGTTTGTTTTTAGTTTTTTTTAGATTTATGGGCATTTTTCCTGTACTTTCTCCTTTTTGTTGTTCAGTCTTATGGATTAACTTTTTAATGTTTATTTGGTACTGTTTAGAATAATGTTCATACTACTACAAAAAATGTCTCTTGATAAACTAAAAAGAACTTTTTAAATAGAGTGAAAACTTGATTTAGCAAATGAGGACGATTGGCAGCTACATCTTGCAGAATGGATTCTTATAGATCTTACTTAGCAACTGTCAAACTCAGTGGCTCATGGTTGGAAGAACAAGATGAAGACATTTATGAGGTGGAATCTCGAGTCCCTTTGCCAAATCCTTTTCCTCTGTGTGAACATTTGGATGAAAATAACTCAGTAATTGTTAATACTTCTATTTTTCATTTTAATCATAAAAGAAATGGACACATGTTAAAACTTATTTCTAGAATCTCACTACCTACTCCTCCTTATTCAGTAAGTATGAAAAAACTATTGCTTTAGTTAAATACCTGTGTATAATAAGAAGTGAAACTTGAAGTGTCTTTAGTGAGATTAACTGCGCCACTATCCTTTTGTGGTGTTTGGCATGCTATGCACGCCACTGTCATGTTTATTGAAGGCTAAATTTGGGCTAAGAGCCCCAACTTGGCTACGTTTTTAATTTGAGATAATATTACAGTTCTTCAATGCCAGGAAAGCTGTATAAAAAGATCCTGCTTGCCTTTAAGAATCTGTGTGTGTTCACTGTGCCAGTCTGAGTGAAAATGAAATGTGTTCGAAAATGGGCATTGAGTCTAAAATCGAGCCATTAAGATATGTATACTATCAGATGGCATACTGACTGTAGTACCAGACAAGAAAATAAATTATTTTTCATCTGGCTGCTAATACTATAAGGAAATATTCTTTGGAGCTTTCTATATGAAATATGCTTTACAAACATTGCTAAGCGTGTTTAGCATAAAGAGTCTACATATTTGATATTTCTGGTTCAACACATTCATATATTGTGAATTATTCACCACAGGCTACTCAGTGAAACCCCAAGGGTTCAGCACTTCCTAGCCCTTTGATATACTAGCTAATATTTAACAAACCAGGTGATTTCAGAAGTTGGTCTTATTGCCTGCCCTGCCGCTTATATATTGATAAAATATTTTCTTAATGCTTTACACATACATTATAAAAAATAATTTATTGTAAAATGTATTAAATAAAAGACTTTCCATTTTAATCATTTTAAGTATATAATTCAGTGACATTAACTACTTCACTATGTTACAGAACGAAACTATTTTTTTTCCAAAAGTTTTCAGCAACTCAAACAGTACATTACATACTTTTAATGCGGCAGTAATTAATAGGTCTTATTAGATAACCATTTGAAAGGAGTCTCGTATCCTAGTAAAAAGTGTGTATCCTCCCTGTTGCAGATGATTTTAGCTTGCTAGATTTACTATATTTGATTGTTAGAGCTTATTTATTTTTGTAAAACAAATTGTTTTATATGATAAATAGAAAATATTTAAGGATAATTAAGATGTTACTAAGAAACAGAATAGAAGCCCTGCTAATGTAGTGGTTACGCGTTGGACTGCAATCTGAATGGTTGGCAGTTCCAAACCACCAGCAACTCCATGGGAGAAGACTGCTCTTTCTACTCCTGTAAATAGTTACATTCTCAAACTCACAGGGGTTCGCTGTGAGTCAGTAATGACTAGATGGCAATGAGTTTGAGTTTGGGGTGTTTTAAGGAGCACAATATTGTTGCAAAGACTTATTTAATTTTGTTATCTAAAGCAAATATTTATTTTGTTGGTGTCTGTAATATAAATTTGAAAATGAAAAATATCCATATCCCTTCTGGCATAGCTTTGAACTCTCTTAGAAGTTTCGTAATATTTACCAGAAAGCCACTATATAATACACAAAAAAACTTTATATTTCCATATGTAGAAGCAATTTATGTAATTTTAAAATGTGTGTTTTGGCAATAAATTCAGGGATATAATTCTGTACAAGTTAGTTGATTAGTTTATGGTCATGTTTCTTTATAATAAAAACTGTGCATTAGTTATGCACATTCAAAAGGAAAATAACCCTTTGCCAATCAAAGGTGAAAATATTTTTGCACTAGCAATATATTACAGACATCTCAGGAAATATTTTATGGTTATAATTTACACTCCGTTTCTTAGGAATCTTAAATGTGTGCTTATATTATTTTCAAATAATAAAATTTTAATGATTTTTAAAACATTAAAGTAAGAATGAATGCATCTTGGAGATCCTGGAAATTGATGTAGAGTAGCCATAAAGAGCTTTAATAACTCTAAAATTAATTTTCTATCATCAGTACCACTCAGATGGAAAGAGCAGAGGTCTTGTGTTTACCAATAAACTCTTCTTAAATATCACAATTATATGATGCATATGGTGACTCTGTAACCAGCATCAACTCAGTGGCAGTGAGTGAGTGATATATGGTTATTGATTTTTAAAAGTTTATTGAGTGGTGTTAATCTAGAATTAAGTACTAGAAGAGGAGCCTTGACAGTGTAGTGGTTACACCTTAGGCTGCTAACTGCAGAGCCAGCAGTTCAAAACCACCAGGCACTCCTCAAGTGAAAGATGAAGTCTTCTACTCATGTAAAGAGTTCAGATCTCATGACCACCCTACCTGTGATGCTCGCCATCATGAATATAGGTGCTATAGCAAAATATACTGAAGAAACTAGATGGGGACTGGCTATCAGAAAGAATAATGTCTAGGGTCCTAAAGGCTTATCTTCAAATAAGCAGCCACCAAACTAAGCCCCCGTGGAAGAAGCTTCTGTGTGATCCAAGGATGGCAAATAATATAATCCAAATGCGAAGAAGGGAATGGTATCAGAGCTTCAGTTGTGAACTCCTGGTTTGCAGAAGGCTTTGGATGACAATAGAAGCCCAAATCCATTTGCAGGGTCCACACAGATTAAGCCTCAGCTAAATCCCTCTGACCAAAGTCAAGGGATGTGAATAGACTTGTTAGCAGACATACAGCATTGTAAACTTGATTATGGAGGATATAGTTAGGTTAAAATGTAATATCTTACCATTTGATTTCCTTTTTGACTCATTTAAAAGTTGTTTCCATTTTTTTAAAGTGTAAATGAAATACACGTATATTAAGCCTCCTGTAAATCCCCTCTGACCACAGACTAGTGATGGTGTCAAGCAGAGCACGTTGGATGGTGGATTATTGGAGATGCAGTTAGGTTAAAATTTAACACCTTGTCAGTTTGATCTCCATTTTGACTCATTTTAAATTTGTTCAGTTTTTAATATTTTCTACTTTCTTTTCGACTAAGGTTTTTCTGTTTTACTTTGTTTTTGTTGTTAGTTTTTCGGATTTGTGTATTTGTTTGTTTTGGTATGTTTTATGTATATTAAATCTAGGATAGGTAACTTTAGAAACAGTAACTGGATCAATGGTTCCTTTTGAGTATGGCAGGGTAGGTACAGAGGAAAATGGGGAGCAAATAACAGTGAGTACAAGAAAGAAGAAAGTATTCTAAATTCTATTGTAGTGGTAATTCTACAATTCATCTTGATATGCTTGAATTATCAAATTGTATGATATGTGGAGTATGTGCTGGTAATTTTTTTTAAGCGTCATAGTCTTGGGAACTCACAGGACTGTACCACCCTGCCGCGTAGGGTCGCCCTGAATCGCAGTCGGTTCAATGGCAGTGAGAAATTTTTTAAATATTTGAGCTCAAAATTTTCCCTATGTAGTTGTTTTGACAAGAACAGGTGATAATCAAGTACTGACAATCAGAAGCCCAGAAACCTAAAGTGGAATCAATTCTTTTCTGCAGTGTCATACCGTGGTCCAATTATCTCCTCGTTGAGAATTTTAGCCTTGAGTCTGTACTTTCTCACTTTAGAATTATTTAAGAATGAGGTCAGTATGTACCAATAGCAGTATTTAAAAGAAATCTGTTGTGATGAATGCTTTATGATCCAAGATTTTTAAAATAAACTGAATAGTCTCCATAGAGTCTTGTAGATGTTTTACAGATGCATAGAAATATATAGCTTTTCATTTAAACACATGTTTATAGATGTAATTTATTTTTGTTGTGCCACCATGATTTTATCATTAATGTCATGATGTTATGTGTTATTAGCCCCTCAAAGTGCCGATGCCGAGTCACAGTCAACAGACTACTTTAAGGCAAAGTAAATAAAATTGGTCGTGCAGCACAGTTACATGAAACACCAAAGAGCCTATGCTTCACTAACTTTAGATCTCCCTTTATCTGATTGATAGAATGCTGATCTAGTGATTCAATGTAGTTTATTTCCAAAAGAAGCCTAGTGAGTAAAACCAGAATGCACTTCTTTTGGAAAGCTATACATAGCTAATCTACCTTTTACTGTGACGTATTCTACTAATGTTATAAGAAATATTTAAATGACAGCAATTCAGGAAGCTTGACTTTTATTTAAAATCTTTTAGCTTTAAGTGGGGAAATAACTAGTATTCCCAATGGTTTAATTCTGTTCCTTCATGTGTCCTTTCTCTCCTTGTTCAGCTCGAGCATGCAAAAGTCACACAGACAGAGTTGATGCGTGAGTCGTTCAGACAGAAGCATGAAGCGACAGAGTCCCTCAAGTGCCAGGAAGAGCTGCGAGAGCGCCTTCAGGAAGAGTCTAGAGCCAGGGAGCAGCTGGCTGTAGAGCTCAGTAAGGCTGAGGGTAAGCAACCTGCTGTAGGTAACTAAGCCTGGAACATTTTAAACTCTGGAAATAGAGGTTTGGATGCACATCCAGGTTTAGAAACCACCAAGCTAATATAAGGTGACTACTGAAGAGCCCAGAGGAGCCCTGGCAGCATCTTGGCTGTGTCTTGGGCTGCGATCTGCAAGGTCAGAGCAAGGTGAGGCTTTCTACTCCAGTAAAGGTCTACCGTCTTGGAGGCAGTTCTACTCTGTCCTGTAGGAGGATTGCTTTGAGTTGGAATCTACTCAATGGCAGTGAGTTTTCTGAACAATTATTATAGTTTATCTTAAAAGTGCTTCCAAATAATTTTTAATACATATATCTAAAATTATGTAAAGAAACTGACAGAATACAGAAAATAATACAAATTTTAGAAATTCTAGAAATGAATAACGATGAGTTGTTACCATAATCTCGTCATCCTAAAACATCAATCTATAACTTATGAAGGATTCATGAGGGAGGGGGAAGAAATGGGGAGCTGATATCGGGCTCAAGTGGGAATAGAATGCTTTGAAAATGATGATGGCAGCATATATGCAAATGTGCTTGACACTGGATGAATGTATGGATTGTGATAAGAGAAGTAAGAGCCCCCAATAAAATTATTTAATTTTTAAAAATCTCATAACTTTAAAGTATTGAAATTACACTTAAAACATGCTAATAAATAAATTGTTCAGGTTCAGCATTAAATTGTGGAGCCTGGATTAAGACCATTAAAGCCACATAATCTTTTTGTTCTGCCATACTCTGGTGGGGTATTGACTTTCTAAAATTACTTAAAATAACAACTTTCTCTAGTATATTTTAAATGTGATTGAGTTCACAATCATCTGAGTTATACGAGGGGGTACCCCCGCAAAAACCCGGAATCATCCCCACCCCACCTCCCAAATATTTAAAAATGTTTTTAACAAAATAACCTTATCACCTTTCAAAGTACTCGCCATTACATTTAATACATTTGTCAAATATGCAATTCCATTCTTGGAAACATTTTTCAAACTCATCTGTTTGGATGGCTGACAGCACCTCCCTCATTTTTTTCTTCACCTCTTCTACGTCATCAAATCACTGTCCTTTCATGTTCTTCAATCATAGAAGCAAAAAGAAATCACACGAAGTGAGGTCAAATGAGTAAGGTGTGTGGGGCAAGAGAGAGGCATGCTGTTTTTCACCAAAAACTGGCACGCTGAGATGGCTGCGTAAGCAGGTGCATTGTGGTGGCAAAACCAATCCCTGGTCTGCCACAAATAAGGCCTTTTGTGTCGCACACTGTTATCCAGTCTCTTCAGGACCTCTAAAGAGAAAGCTTGATGGACAGTCTAACCTGGTAGAACAAATTCCAAATGCCTGTTTGGGAAGTTGATGGATGTCCAGAATGATATTGATGTCTGATGACACAAAATGTCATTAGTCGACATTTCACCTTTTTAAAACAAGAAAACCACTCGTACACTTGAGTTTTCCCCATAGCGCTGTGCTTGTAAGCTGTGTTCAACATCACAGCAATTCTCTGGCATTTTTCCCAAGCAGGATATATTTCACAGCCTCACACTATTCTCTTAAACCAGCCATCACAAATAAATCTGATTTGAGCGATACTGCTTTTACAAAAAATTTAACTGTAACCAGAGAGAAACTTCCCAAGCAACGCCACAGGGTGCACTAACTCAGAGTAAGTTGCTCTATGCTCACCTAGAGGGGAAAGATGCGTACTACAAAAGCTCCGCTCTGCCCAACACAATTCTGGTTTCTCGAGGGGTACCTCCTGTATTCAACTTTCCAGGAATCTATTTTGTATGTTTCATATAAAATTAGTTATATGTCCATGTAAGTTTAATATAACAAAGTAATACAAAGTTCAGAAAAGTTTCATAGTCACAATAGTTAATAAGAAAGTGACTCCATGGAACATACCATAACAAAAGTTAATAGTTACTTGCAAGCAACTTTCTAAGGTACAGCAAATAGTCTCCTTCCAGCTGGCGGAACAACAGAGAAGCTCAAGAACCAATAAAAATTACACGTTTCCCACGAGTTTCCTCATAAAGCATTATCTATGAGGCCCGAAGAAATCTACATGATGCCCAGCCAAGGTGCTTAGTTGATCAAAGATTGTAGTTGTATCATAGACGCATAAAGAGGGGAGAGCTATTAAAGAAAAAAAATACTAACAGACACCTTACTTTGATTTTAAGAGGTTTTATTCCCTTACCCTCAAAACCAAATATTAGCCAGAAAAGTTCCTAACCCAAAATGAATCCTGCCAGTGGCTTTTTTTTCCACTCAAAGTTGCTAATCTTTTCTTTCCTGTTCAAAGCCAGGCTTACTTAATTTAAAGTTAAAAAGGTTCAAGCCTGCAGATGATGATGGACCAAATTCCACCTTGAGATCTGATAGCAGTTGATCTCAAGAAAAGGGAGATGTCAGAGTTCAGTCAATATTACAATAAGGTTGATTTAAAATTTTTTTCTACCTCCTTATAGGCTTCATTATAAATAGCCTACTTAAAGCCATTTGCTTTCATTGGGTTTAGAATCAGAATGGTCTCCCTATATGAATGTAGAATTACTGCTCAGAATGAACCATGGTCCAGTTATCTTCTCATTAAGAGCTTTAGCCTCAGGCGTGTACTTTCTCACTTTACAACTGTTTAAGAATGAGGCCAGTATGTTTAGAAAAGAAAAGTTGATGGCTGCTTATGTCAGCAGCAAATATATCCAAGAATTGCAATAGTTGGATTCATTTAAAGTTTTGCTACCTGTATATCCACTAATGTTTATATTAAAATCTGAGGGTAACATTTGAAGTGACACTTAGTCCCGTTCATGGTTCATTTTACTCTGTAGGTGTCATTGATGGTTATGCAGATGAAAGAACTTACTTTGAAAGGCAGATTCAGGAAAAGTCAGACATCATCGATCGTCTTGAGCAGGAGTTGTTATGTGCGGGTAATAGATTACAAGAGCTGGAAACAGAGCAGCAGCAGATCCACGAGGAGAAAGAGTTACTGTCCAGACAGAAGGAGGCGATGAAAGCAGAGGCAGGCCCCGCCGAGCAACGTATGTACTTTTCAAACCTTGCATGAAACACTGTTAAGATTTATTTACGCTCTTTAAAAGTTCACCATGCCTTGCCCCACTTTTTCAGTGCCATGACCATGTGCTTTATATAAAAATCAAACCAAAAGCACATCACCATCGAGTCAATTTCAACTCTTAAAACCCGTAAGGACAGAACGAAACTGCCCCATAGGTTCCTAAAGCTGTGAACCGACACAGAAGTGAACTGCCGCATCTTTCTCCTGAGGGGCAGCGGCGGGTCCCAGCCATTGTCCTATTCGTTAGCAGCTGAGCACTTTAACCACTGTGTTTTATAAGAGGCCTAGAAGACATTAACAGAAAATCTAACTTCTTTGCCAGTGTCTTACTGGGCAAGCCATGTAAAATTGGAATCCCCCTCCTTTGAAATATGTTGCAGAAAGAGTTGCCCTCAAGTTTCTGCCTCAAGAGAAAGCTGCAAATAACGGTGCGGAATATCTTGAAAATTGTGTAAGATTTGGTTCTTTTCATGGAGAAGCAGAAGAAATGTATACTTGTATAACTCAGAGCCCTGACTTAGCACAAGTAGTGAACAGATAGCAGCGGAGTTTGGCCTCCAACTAGAAGTGATTGAAAAACTTCTAAGAGACTTTAAGTTTTTAATTTAGAAACTATTTTTCATCTTTTCCTTAAGTGAGAAATTAAGTAACATCTTGAAGTTAATGTCTGTTTAGTGGTTTAAAAAAATGTCAGGTTTTGCAATGACAGAGCTTTAAATCCCCCCCCCCATTCCTTTTTATTTTATATTGCATAATATAGTTGGAATTATAAATGTGTAATCACTAATTTCACTTTATCAATTTAAAAATATAAGTTGTTAAAAGTATATATAGTGAGTTTTTTTCTGGCTGCTCAAATTAGTGTAACATAGGTTGAGGGTTGGCATTTTTAATATGGGAAATATGTATATGATACTCATAATTATTCAAGCAGTATTGAAGCTTCTCAAAATGTTGCCATTGATGATAATCACTTCAACTTTTGCTTTTAGTTATTTTTCCCTTTTTGTGCACTTTCTCATTTTAGGAAGTGGAAGGCATATATTGTATTTTTTTGTCATTTTTGTTTTATTTTTTCTTTTCCTATTTTTGTAGGACTAGTAGATGCTGCAGTCGATGCAGCACCTGGAGCAGGTGTGTTTTGCGATTGCATGGCAGGCTTTGGGTAGCAGACTTGCAACTCAAAGCATTGGATGCCCCTTGAATTTTCAACTAACTAACATACCTCTAATTTTGTAATTCTGTTGATGTGATGCATACCTAACAGCTTTTCTCTTTAACAAAAAACTTTCTTACAAAAAGTTTACATAAATCCACTTTACCAAATTAGATTCCTAGTGACCATCATCTTATATCTGTTTTTGCATAGAGAAATTTTAAAGAATATGTTGGTGTTTTTTCATTAACCAGTATACTAAACTCTTGTATCCTCTGAATTTTCAAAGGATCTTTCTTAATCTGGAAGTATATAAGATGATGGTATCAAATGGATATGTGAAATCTGATCAAAGATTTTTCTGGTTGATTAACTTTTTATTTTAATCTCTAATATCAGTATTGTTTATAGAGATACTTTTTTTTCTGTAGAAGAGTTCTAGAGTTTTCTATCAAGCTATAGTAGTTTTATATAGATAGTAGATAAAGACTTTTACTTTCATCTTCACTAGAAAATTGTACTTTTGCTGTGTATACTCAATTATTACATTATTATTGATAATAATAATAGCTTACACTTAGATAGTCCTTAACACACCATAAGACCTATTCTTTACATATATTAACTCCTTTAATCATATAGTAACAGTAAGAGATCAGGACTGCTATTATCACATCAATGGAAACTAGAGTACCTTATGTGTCACACAGGAGATAAGTGCCAGACCTACGATTTAAACCTACAGTCCCTCCAGGTGAGCACACAGCTCATTGCCTCTCATTCTTGTCGGCTTCCCTTTGCACATGCATGCAAGAACCACAGAGGAGTACAGAGTCAGAAAGGAATAAAACTGACAGGAAATTTTGAATGCAGATATGTTTCTTCATGGCCTTGACTAACGATTTCGCAACATTTGATCTTCATGTGTGTTATGTGTGCATATAAAAGTGATTTTATGGTTTTGGGATGAATAGATTTTTGCCTGGGATAAAGAAAACAGTGGCTTTTTCTTATTCTTGAGCTTCACGTTTAGTTCTGCATAGGGAAAACAGACGAATCAGTCACTTGCCATGCTGCTTTCACAGAAATAGTCTAAAGTGACAGGACACACTCTTTTTTGTCAATCCTTTATCAGTTTGTTGACACGGGCCCTTTTACTTACGTAGAAATATGCTAAGCTTTGTGATACTTTTCAAAAGTGAATATTTAACTGATTTTCTGTGCCTTTGAATTAAAACTCAGATTTTTATCTCATGAAGAGAAAAGTTCAACAGTTATAAGTGATTACACAATCATAACACCATTAATTGTGATTTAACATGGTATATCTTTACATTTGTACACAGAATTACTACAGGAAACAGAAAAGCTAATGAAAGAAAAACTAGAAGTGCAATGTCAAGCTGAAAAGATACGTGCTGACCTACAGAGACAAGTAAAAGCTCTAGAAGTAGATGTTGAGGAACAAGTCAGTAAGTTTCTAGAGCTGGAACAGGAAAAAGGTGCTGAATTGATGGACCTCCGGCAACAAAACCAAGCACTGGAAAAGCAGTTAGAAAAAATGAGGAAGTTTTTAGATGTAAGTGTTCTCGATTCAAATATTGTTTATCATGCGGAATGCTAGTGAGTTACAATAGCTTCATGTACACGTATTATTTTACCAATTGAGTACTATTCCAGTAATAAAGTCCAACAATTGTTTTTGCTATCCAGCTATTTGAATTCAAATAGCCTAATTGTACATAAACCCTTCCAGTTAGTCCTTCACAATTCAGAATTAAGAAGCTTGTTTTAGTCTCTTAACAAATTAGTCAGAACGAGCATGAGTTTTCAGAGCTCACGACTGCCTTACCCTCAAATGGTGGACGCACAGACAGCAGTGTGCTTGGGGAACAGGATGAGAGTCGTTGCTGGGCTGTCACAACAGCTTCCAGGAAAAGGTTGAATCTTGCTTTCCACACAGATGGGCTTTGTGGCAATTTTATTGAAGCCTGATGATGTTTTCTTCACAGACTTCAGAGGGAGATTCTGTGCTCTATAATTTTTGGTATAAACCTATGTTAAGATGAAAGAAATTGGTTTATCAAACAACTTGTTTTATGTAATTGATTAAGTTGATTAAGATACCAGTGGAATTGCTCCTTTATTCCAAAAAAGTAAGTGCAGTTTAAGGAGAATGCTTTTATTCATTCTGTATTTCACATTAGTTGAATAAAGAAAAATTTGAGCTTCAAAATACACTTTAATACTTGAATTTTTGTTCCAGAACCAAAATAAGCTATGTACCATTGCAAGAATGTTACCTTTCTAAATCTTTATAGTTTGAGCTTTTCTCTGACAGAATATTCAATAATAGATCTATAATTAAAAGGAAATGTAGCTTCAGTACATATTGTTTCATCTGTAAATATTTTTATTTTTGAACTCCAGGAGCAAGCCATTGACCGAGAACATGAGAGAGATGTTTTCCAACAAGAAATACAGAAACTAGAACAGCAGCTTAAGGTTGTTCCTCGATTCCAGCCTGTCAGTGAACACCAAACTAGAGAGGTAAGAACTCTGTTGAGGTGGCTCACGGTACCTTGTATCTGGGACAGAAAATAAATATTGTACATCCACACTGATAAAACTAAGTCCCAAGGATCAGATCATTATGCAAAAGTCAGAATTATGAAAAATTGAAGAATGACCACTTCACATAATCGAGCATAGCTACATCATTACAAAACTGCCAAGTTGACACAAAACTGTAAACATCACAGCTGCTGCTAGTCTTACTTCGCACCATGATGTTGATTACATCATTAATGCACAATGTGGTCAAACAGTTGATTTTTTACCATTTTTATAAATATGGAACATCAGATATTGAGACAGTTGGTATGTGTGGTGTAGGAGTATATAAATCTTAAAATCAGAAAGTGTGGTATTATTTCAACATGAGGTCCCTGAAACCCTAAAAATTAATGTTTGAAATTCGGACTGTGCTCTATTGAAATCCTCCCCATCTGTATACATGTTCTGGTATTGCCCAGTTAAATAAACTGCCCTGTTTCTATTCCCAATAAAACTGATCAGAAGAGTTAGCGAAGATTATGTCTTTACTTCCTCAGCTCCTCTTATCAATTCACTCGTGAAGTTCCCAGACAGCTTGTATTAGTGCGGTGCATTGAAACTGATCTTGTGGAGGTTGACTGTAATCTCACGACCATACCCAAGAATCTTCTTTCTGTCCTCACCTCCCCTGACCATTCAGTGGCATTACAGCCACCCTCTTGAAACACTTCCTTCTCTTCACTTCTGTGATGCCCTGGGTCACGGTCTAGTCTGTTTGTCCTCTATCCAAAACCTAAATGATTCAAGGCCCCAAAATTGTCCTTGGACTCCATTTCCTTCGGTCATCAATTTTCTCTTTCTAGTGATCACCTGCAAATAACTCCACATTTGTGTGTCCATCTAGGACCTCTCTGTTGAACACCAGACGTGACTATTCAACTGCCTACTGTCCATTTAAGGAGTCGTAGTAGCATAGTGATTAAGCCCTTGGTTGTTCCAGCCCACCAGCCATTCTACAAATGAAAGACCTGGCAGTCTGCCTCCGTACAGACTGGAGCCTTAGAAACCTAGACAGAAGTGTACCCTGTGTGGTGGCTACGAGACACGCTCGGCTGTCCTGTATGGCCACTGTGAGACAGAATGGGCTCACTAGCAATGGCTTTGGGTTGGTGGGGTCTCTCTCTCAGTACCTCCATAGAGTTCTCAAACGACCTTTCCTAGAGAGAGCCCTGATTCATGATGACTCCTCACCAAAGAAGCATGAGATAAAAGTATGTTTCTTCTTCAACCCAGTAAATTCTGTGCATTGTATACCTTTTTTATTGCTAACTCCTAGAATTCATCCTTCATTTCATTTTTTTCTGCACCCTAATAATCCATTGGTGAGCCTAGTCATACTGTGTCTGTCCACTTTCTGTCATTTCTTTCCACTTTCTGTCATTTCTTTAAACCTCACTCATCATTTTTGGCATGGACCATTGTGGCAACCTTCTGTCCGTTCTTCACTGCTTTTACCCTTTTCACCCCCTCTGTCCACTTTCCTCACAAAATACAGAAACTTAGTCAGAACTCAGTATCTATCAAATTAACTCTCTGTGAAAGAGGTAAGATTCCATTTATGCATTGCTAAAAGGAACTTGTCGTAGCATTTAAGGGATTGATGCTTGGAGTGACAGAATATTTGAACTTGAGAATTTGGAGTGGTTATCTCCTGTGATGTAATATCCTTATGCTGGGAAAGGTTTGACTTTCCTCATTCTTGAAACAGAAACTAACAGGGATGTGGAAGCTTGATTTTCTTCAGGAACTTTGTGATCCATTTGTTTTCTCCCTGCTTTGCCTCATCTGACTCCTCAACTTCGGATTGCTCTAGATGAGAAACAATCCCATTATTATCATTTGCTGTGCCTGCTTTGTCGTCTTTTCTTTTGACCCTACTCCAAATCTTAGTCTGCCCATTACTGTTATCGTTTCTCCTCAGTGCTTTTATTGTTATCACCTTTGATCCTGGAATTAGTGTTAACCTTGCATTTGGTTAATGTTCAGAGAAATAATACTCATTTTAAAATCTTACAGAACTAAGATAGAAACCCTTACTGTCCTTACTATTACATTTCTTTCTTTCTTCCCTTTTTGTAACTAAGGGTGTTCTCCAGTCGTATAATTAATTTCCTAATCCTTCCTACAGTTCCATTGCCCTTCCTGCCATCTCCATCACACTGTCTCTCATTTCAAGAGACCCGCATTCCAGAATCATTTAGCCACAGTGTCATTCCCTCCGTGTCATTCCACACGGGGCCTCATCGCCCTTCTGGGTTAGAGGATTACCTGAAGGAGACTATATCAAAGACTCCCTGCTGCATTCAAAATGATTGTATGGTTCCATGTGCTGACTGTAATCACTTGTGGAATAGAACATCCATGAAAGATTTCCTAGATAATTTATCTCACAAGAGGTTAAGTCAAGGCTCTGCCAATGTGTCATTTCTATTACGCCATGGTATAATGGTGCCATTAAAGCTCAATTACCCAGAAAAATGACACTTTGACTGAGACCAAAAAAAGTCTATCGTTACCAAAAAATATACTTAGCAAAGCATTCTGAAACACCTTGTAAAATGAGGGTGTGCTTTATCATTTCTAGCTTGCCGGCAATTTTTAAGTTGTTCTTTGTTTTGCTTATCATATTTCCAGGTTGAACAATTAACAAATCATCTGAAAGAAAAAACTGACAGGTGCAGTGAGCTCTTACTATCCAAAGAGCAGCTTCAGAGGGATATACATGAACGAAATGAAGAGATTGAGAAACTGGAATTCAGAGTAAGGGAACTAGAGCAAGCCCTGCTCATTAGTGCCGACCCTTTTCAAAGGGTGAGGTCCTTTTCTCTTTCTTTTTTGCGGTTATTATTGATGCTTTGATATACATTACAATTAAAAATTACTATTGACTTCTTATTGGCATTACTACATAATGTATACATGTTTATACCTATTGCTAATAGGATACCATATCTGCTCGGTTTTACTTCCAAAGGTTGTTTGCATACTATAACCCTGAGAAAGGAAGATCAGTTAGCCAAAAAGATTAGCCTTGTAATTATCGAGCAAAGTTGTGATGCAAAAGTAATAGTTGGGTGAAAAGGCTATGGGCACTGCTTTAGTCTGGTGCTTTCTCCTAGCCTGAGAAGCGATGATAGCCATCACCATTTTATTGTGGAAAACAAAAATGAATAAAAGAGACTAGTGTAAGGAAGTTTGGGAGCATAGCTGATGGAGGAATGACTTGTCTTTTATCTGAGAATTGTGTTTTGAGACTGTCAAACATTCCTATAAATTTGTAGGAAATGCCTTCTAGGTTGAATAATTTATTGTTCATGAATGTAAATTATACAATTCCATTTGGAGGATGATTTCTTCTCTAATTAAAATGGGCAGTAGGACTTATGGTCTGAACTTTTGAGAACATTCTTATGTATTTCAAGGTAGAGGATCAAAAACAACTTGGAGCTGTAGACGCCAAAGCAGAACTGTCCCTCGAAGTGCAATTGCAGGCTGAGCGCGATGCCGTAGACAGAAAGGACAAAGAGGTAAGGAGTGTAAGTGACAAAATGTGGTTTGAATTTCTGTAAATAAACTGCCTCGAGAATATCAGTTGAGCATAAGGAAATCTGGGGCCTTTTTTAGCCTTCTGCCCTAAGTTGGTTTTGAAAAGAATAAACTAGTGAACATGTAAATCAGCAGCGAACAGTGTTATGTCTTGAATTGAGAATCGAATGACGGTCTCCCTGTACTCACAATCATAGTTATATAGGAGCCCAAGAGACTAGAGAGAATCCATCATTGGCTCCCAGCTCATGCAGATATGGAGACAGGTCTAGAGATGGTGGATAAGTGGTTAAAATGACAGCTGGTTCTCTTCCTCTAGTTGTAAATAACAATAGCAAGCCCTCTGCCAGAACCCACTCACAGTAGAATGCTATTCTATGGTGCTTTATGCTCTACTGTCAAGGAAAGAATCCAGGTATGTTTTGCCTTATTGGTGAGAGTATGGAAAAATACCAGTCAACATTTTTGGACGTCTAACTTTGTGTATTGTTCACTCACTGCCACCTAGTGGGCTTCAACACATAGTGACAGAGTTGAACTGCCCTTGTGGATTTCTGAAACGGTGAGCTCTTTAGAGTTGTACAAAGCTTATCTGCTAACTGTGCGGTGAGCAGCACCATGTGTAATCCATGACACCACCCGAGCTCTTGTGTGTTGCGCAGTGCTGTCCAGTTGTAAAAGGAGCGGCTGACTGCAGGGAATGTGCTGTCTGATTAAGGAGACAGTTACACTTACAAAGAGTTACAAAGAGACAAAAACATTTTGTAAAAAAGAATGAAACAACACAAAGAGGTGCAAATTATGTAATCCAAACAGCACAACATCAAAGGGTAGCAAACTAAACAAGATTAAAACACATAGCTCTTAGCCTAAAAGACTTTTAAGTTATAATTAACTGTTCTGGTACTTGATTGTGATCACACAGGTTGGAGTCTGGCTGATTAAGGGGAAAGAATGCCCTGTAACAACATGGTTTGGTATTCAAGTCCCTAACGTGATGCCTTAAGTTCAGCTACTTACCAAACGGATAAGTACTGGTGCTTTGGACCAGTGCTTCTCAAATATTAGGGTGCAGGTGGCTACATGTTGGCTGTTAACTGCAAGGTAACAAAGCCACCAGCTGCTCCATGGGAGAAAGACTGGGCTTTCTCCTCCCCTCAAGAGTTACAGGCATGGAAACACACAGGGCAGTTCTACCCTCTTCCTATATGATCTTTATGAGTCAGCACTGACTCGATGGCAGTGAGTTTAGTTGAGTTATAACTCACCTGGGAATCTTGATAAAATGCAGATTCTGATTCAGCAAGTCTGGGGTGGGGCTTGAAGTTCTTTGGACCTAGCATGCTCCCCTAGAGTCCCAATGCTGCTGCTCCTGAGACCACACTGCAGAAATTGTTGTATCAGTAAGAAAAGCAAATATCCAGTGAGACAGGGCAGAAAATTTGACTCAAATTTGACTCATGTGTTGATGGTCAAATAATACCATGTCATCAGAAGTAATTGTAGAATAGGAGACAGGCATAGGTGTAAATACTATTATATAACGTTGAGGAAGATAAAATCATCACAGTTGCCAAAAGACTTGATAATTACATATGCCCACTCACTAAATGTACTTAACATGTGTCTATTGGGTTTAATTACTGGTGTTACAAAACATCCTAAGTATAAGTCTTGCACATTGCTTATTAGACACAGGATGCCTGATAATTAACAATGTAAAGCTCCAGAGAAATCTCCTCATGTTTGAAAAAAAACTGGCTTCACTGAATACCAGCCCTGTGAGCTGCAGGGCAAGTACTTCATCTCTCGGTCGCGCCTGCTCTCATCTCTAAAGTGAATATATCATGAGTCGGACCTCATAAGGTTGTTACAGGGCTTGTGTTTTTTGCTTTCATTACAGCGTTGAGCAGTAAATTATATCTAAGTGATAGCTATTTTACTAGTATTGATACTATTTCTGTTGAGGCAGTCCTAGGCTGAGTGATTTCTCTGGGTGTTTGCTTTGCCAGTGCTAAGACACAGTTCTAATCACATGCCAGCATGAGATCAGCATATGTCCTACTTCACCTTCTCGCCCAATAAATGATTTATGGGTTGTTTTCTCAGCCAGCTGCTACTAAATGCTGCTCCTGGGTCTCAGGCTGCTTCTTTTCGTCATTTATTTTATTTTTGTGGGAAAATGCGCACCACAAACCCAGCTCCCATTGCAGTTTCTGGATGCAATTGTCAGGACCCTTGGTTGATTTCCACAGTGTCAGCACTCTCATGGTTGCCATTGTAGTTGTTTTGCTTGCATTTGCTTGGTCTCTCTGCCCCTAACATTTATGCTTTACAATAATTGTTGATTTTTGTTTCATATAGATATGTAATATCTGTTTTATAGTTTTCTCCTTTTTGATCTGGATTTACCTATTGTGTTCTTGATAAGAATGCTCAAGAGTTACATTGCTTTGAATACAGCCATTTAGACCATCAGATAAATACGCATTTGAAAATGTACTCATCAAATATTTATTAAATATCTCCAAAGGCATGAGCTGTCTTTTAAGTATGATTAAAACTGTTATTATTCCTAATCAAACCCACTTCCTATAATATAATGATAATTAGCTCTGAATTTTTATTGTGAGTTTCAGCCTCTGTATTGTCTATCAAAGCAAGTGCTTTGCAAATAATGATAATCCATTCTCCACAATGAGCCAACTGTTCTATCAACAGTTGCTCTCCAATTTTCTCCAAAAAATTGTCTTACAAATGTACTCTGTTTCGTTTAGACACATCGTGTAGTCGTTTCTGTGGTTCAGAGGCTCTCTCGCTCTTGGTGTCTGCTTCAGCTTCCTGTTGCCTTGTGGGCTAATTAGACACCTTGGGCGAAAGTGAACAGCTCTTACTCCTTGGCCACTGAAACAACTGCCTCCTTTCTACAGCTCTGGGTGTTGTTTTAGCCCTTCTAACATAAACGAGAGTGAGGTGTGCCCCCTCTCGCATCTTGCCATGAATCTCTTTTCTTCCTCCATCAGAGGGCACGTTGGGCAGGGAGGGTCCCATGGCCTTCCTCAGATGTGTTTCTCTAACCGGGCAGGTGCTGATCTGACTGAGGAAAACAAACCACTTTCTTTCTGTGGTATACACATGATTTAAGGATGCATGCTTTAGAGCAGTCATACACACGCTTGAGAAATAGGTACTTGCATAAACTAATTTTGTTTTGTGGGTTTTTTTGTTGATAATTTTGGTTTTAAGATCACAAACTTAGAAGAACAATTAGAACAGTTTAGAGAAGAACTGGAAAATAAGAATGAAGAAGTTCAGCAACTGCATATGCAATTAGAAATACAGAAAAAGGAATCCACTACCCGCTTGCAGGAACTTGAACAAGAAAACAAATTGTTTAAGGTAATTAGTTTTTTGTTTTTTTTAAAAAAAAACCTCTGCCTAAGAATAATTTGTAGTTTTGGTCCTGGTTAGCCTTGTTAAGCATTTTCAAAGTTAGCTACTAAATAATACTGAGTAGCTAGATTAGAAGGGAAGTGGATTTGTGGGGGATTTATTTCAAACTCAATTTGGACATATAAACACATTTTAAGTGAAGTGTTTTGAGACTATCAAAATGTTTTCATAATTATTGAATAATCAGATAATAGCTCTAATATTTATACTTATTTATTCTAAACATGTAGTTTATAAGCATTAATTAATTTTAAAAGTGGTCTGAAAATGACATCTAAGTGGGATGATTGTTTTGTCTCTAGGACGAAATGGAGAAACTGGGATTTGCTGTCACAGAATCTGATTATGTCTCTACTCAGGACCAACATGTTCTCTTGGGGAAATTTACTCAAATAATACAGGAAAAAGAGGTGGAAATAAGTCAATTGAATGAACACATTGCAAAACTTCAGCAGCAACTTAAAATTACAACTGATAATAAGGTATGCTCATTTGAAATTGGTTTTTGCCTGGAATTAATTTGAGGTAGAATTGAAAAGGGCAAAATAGTTATAACTTTCTATTTCCTATTGAATTTTAAAGCAAAACTTAGTTTTTCTTTCATCTGTTAATTTTAATTTATTCAAGCACATTGATATCATAAGCTGTATGTATTCTTGTCCCCTCCTAATATTCTCAAAGGGTTTTAATGCTTCCCAGGTAGTTGCCAGTGACTCAAATGTCATCATATCACGCTAACCAAATTTATTAACTAAACCCACTGCCATTAATTTTATTCCGACCCATAGTGATCCTATATACCGTATATATTTGAGTATAAGCCGACCCAAATATCAGCCGAGGCACCTAATTGTACCACAAAAACTGCATGGAAAATGTGCTGAAAAACTCAGCTTATATAAACAAGGGGCCATCTAACTGAGAAACAACAGAGCCCACATGGAAAAAGCACACCAGCCTGTAAAATGACAAGGCGGCGAAAGGGTCAGGTATCAGGCATCAAAGACCAAAAAAAAAAAAATTCATAACATTGTGAACGAGGGGTTGTGCAGAGTCGGGACCCAGAGCCCATCCAGGAGAAATTGGACATCCCCTTGCAGAAGGGCTGCGGGGAGGTGAGCAGCAAATCGGAGTGCAGTGTAGTAACGATGAAATATGCAATTTTCCTCTGATTCTTAAATGCTTCCTCCACCCTGCTACCATGATCCTAATTCTACCTTACATATCCGGCTGGACTGGAGGAAGTGCACTGGCACAGATAGGAACTGGAAATACAGTGAACTCAGGACAGATGAACCCCCCCGCCCCCAGGACCAGTGGAGAGAGTGGTGATGGCCCGAAGGTGGAGGGAAGGAGAGGGAGAAAGGAGGAACAGAGAACAAGGTCTACATGTGGCCTCCTCCCTGGGGGACGGACAGTGGAGAAGTGGGTGAGGGAGACATGACATGGGGTAAGATAAGATAAAATAATAATAAATTATAAATTATCAGGGGGAGCGGGGAGGGAGAGGGAAAAATGAGCTGAGACCAGGGGCTCAAGTGGAAAGTGGGTGTCCTAAGAATGATGAAGTCAACATATGTACTAAAGTGCTGGACACAGATGACGTATGTACAGATTGTGATGAGTTGTATGAGCCCCCAATAAAATGATTATTTAAATTTAAAAAAAACTTGGCTTATACACGAGTATATACGGTATGAGGTTTCTTAAGATGTAAATAGAGTCCTGATGGGATAGTGATTATGTGGTGGGCTACTAACATCAAGGTCAGCAGTTCAAAACCACCAGCCACTCTTAAGGGTGAAAGATGATGATTTCTACTCCTGTAAAGAGTTAAGAGTCTCAAAAACTCACCAGGGCAGTTCTACTTTGTCCTGTAAGGTCACTGAGTAAGAATTGACTTGCTGGCAGTGAGTTGGGTTTTGATACTGGAAATCCTTGCAGGAACAGGTAGCCGTATCTTTCATCCTTGTGGCAGCTGGTGGGTTTGAACCACTGACTTTGCAGTTAGCAGTCCACTGTTTACCCAACAGTGCCACCAAGACACCACGTCTGTTAATAGATCCTCTAGTTATGATTTGGGTAAGATAAATACCTTTTGGCACCATCTGCCAATATTTCAGTATTTCGCCCTTTCCATTGATGGTTATGGGGTTGTTCTGAGTCAGGATCGATTCAGTGGCAATGATTTTTTGTGCGTGTGTTTGGTATTTACTTTATTGGAAATAAGCTAGTAGAAGTGTAAATCACCTTACATTTATTTGATTCTTTGAACAAAATTCTAAATGAAGTTCTTGTTTGATGAAATAAAGGAATTGTTTCCCATAGTGGGTGATATCGCCCCCTACGGGATGCTGGAAAGATTCAAACTCAAACCATTAAAACCGATTCCTCCTCACAGCGAGTGACCCTATAGGACAGGGTAGAACTGCCCCTATGGGTTTCCGAGACGGTAACTGTTTACAGGGGCTGCAAAAGCAGATACCTGCACTTTATCTTGGATGATGGCGTATAGTATACAAGTTTGTAATTGTCAGAGGGCGCCGAGTAAATTTTTTCTGAAAAGGGGACAGTAGACCAAGTAAGTTTGAGAACCCATGATCTATACCAACACTGTATAGTAGATGTCTACGAAGTATTTTTTAAAGTATTTTATTGTGTGACTGATGATTTCCTTGAGGTTCTACCCTAAAAAATCAAATCCCCCCCAGTAAGCATATGTATTACATACGTCATTTTTTCCTATTAATTTATAGGTTATTGAAGAAAAAAATGAACTGATAAGGAATCTTGAAATACAAATAGAATACTTGATGAGTGATCAAGAACAAGTAAAGAAAAATAGAGACGAAGAAGTAGAAAAGCTCAATGAAGTGATTGAAAAACTTCAGCAAGAGTTGACAAATATTGACCAGAAAACATCAGTAGATGCCAATTCCCTCCCGGATGAAGCAGATAGTTTAAAACATCAGTTGGATATGGTATTAGCTGAAAAGCAGGCTTTGGAAAAGCAAGTAGAAACGACAAATGAAGAAATGGCCTTCACAAAAAACGTACTTGAAGAAACCAATTGTAAAATGAATCAGCTAGTGCAAGAAGTATGTAGCTTAAAGAGAGAACGTGAAAACATAAGACAAAGTACACCAGAGAAAAATATTAATGTGCTTGTAGGTGATTCCAGCAAAGACGAAACTGAGCTAGACAGAGTCTTTTCTAAGGGTGCTCTTAAACCCCTAGGAAATCAGACTTACCCCACATCTCTTGAAGAAAACAACCACATACCCATAAGCAATTTGGAAGCAAAGTTGCTACAACTTGAGAGCACTGTTAGTGCAAAGGATTTGGAACTCATCCAGTGTTACAGACAAATAAACGACATGCGAGAGCAAGGGCGGTCTGAAGCAGAAACGCTTACAAAGAAGATGGTAAACCTACAGAAAATGCTTGAAGAAAATGTTGCTGCTGCCCTTGTGAGTCAAGTCCAACTTAAGGCCGTTCAGGAATATGCTCAATTTTATCAAGATACACCACCAATTTCATCAAAACCAGAAAGGACAGGTCAACAGAATTTAAATGAACTAACAGAAACAGAAATGGAGTCAGATGAGTCTGCCTTAACCTCGAGAATCTCAGAATTGGAAAGCCAGATAGCTGAAATGCATTCTTGTTTAACTTTGGAAAAAGAACAAGTACAAATCGCAGAGGAAAAGACTTTGGAGCAAGAAAAGAAGCTGCTGGAACTGCAGAAGCTGTTGGCGGACAGCAAACACAGGCGGGGAGAAGATGAGTGGGAAAGAAGCCCTGAGGGGGCTCTGGCAGGCCCCGAGGTTAGTTTGTATTGGAGTTCTCTCTCAAATACTCTGCCGACACTTCCCTAAAGTGATGGCTAGTTGTATTAAATTAAGTATGTTGTTTCCATCTTCCATGTGGCACAGAAAAAGTGTTTATAGAATTATTATTATTATACATGTTGTTATATCATGTTATTGCTACCAAAATAATGGATACAGACAACATTTTGTGGTCATGTGTGTGTGTTTTCCACAATCAGAAGAAAGTTTGAAACAGTAATTCAGCGAATGGCCCTGGGGGGTGTGTGTGTGTGTGTGTGTGTGTGTGTGTGTGTGTGTGTTTGTAATTCAGCGGTGGGTGTGTGTGTGTGTGTGTGTAATTCAGCGAATGGCCCTAGGTGTGTGTGTGTGTGTGTGTGTGTGTGTGTGT